TGCATTTTGTGGGTCAGGAATTTGGGAAGAGCTTAGCTGGGTGGTTCATCCGGGCTCCCGAGACAACCGCAGATGGTTGGGTTAGGAGACCCCCTTCCAAGGTGGCTCCTTTGCCTGCTCGTCTGGCGCCCCTGCCATCTCCCCCTCCACACGGTGTCTCACGCCCTGGGGCCTCTCCTGTGGTTGGGACATGGCAGAGCCTGTGGTTTCGGGGTAACAGTGGCCACGTTCCTTCCAGGAATGGAGAAGAGAGCAAGTTCCCGCGTGCACCGTTTCTCAAGCCGGGCGGGCCGCGTGGCCGAGGTCTCGCACTGCTCTCTCTCTCTCTCTGTCTCTCTCTCTCTCTCTCTCTCTCTCTCTGGCTCTCTCGCTCAGAACATAACGCACGGCTCGAGCTTCCACGTCGTCCTGGACACCATCCCCTCCATGATGAGCGCCCTGCGGATGGTGTGGATCATCTCCCGGCACTACAACAAGGACGAGAGGATGATTCCGCTCATGGAGCGCATCGCCTGGGAGATCGCCGAGCGCGTCTGCAAGGTGGTCAACCTGCGCACTCTGTTCCGGTGAGAAGCGACAGCGTTCGTGTAGTTATTGGATCTCAGACAGCTTCACTGGGCTGTAATTCACGCGCCGCACCACGCACGCATCTAAAATGCGCAACTCAGTGGCTTTCAGTGTATTCACAGAGCTGTGCGTCCGTCACCGCGGTCAGTGTCAGAACATTTAGAAGCCTTGTCCCTTGTAGTGGTCACTGCCCGCCTCCCTGCAAGGGGCCCGTACACCTGGGGGCACACAGTGTGGGAGTCCTGTGACACGTGGCCTTTGGGGTCGGGCTGCTTGTACTCAGCATCACGCTTTCAAGGTTCACTGGTGGTGTAGACGTATCCGTGCTTCCCTCCTCTTCATGGCTGGATAACATTCCGTTGTACGGAGATGTGTGTGCATAAAATCCTGTTTTAACTGGGACTTTCTACCCCAGTTATACGTGGGGAGACTGAGGCAGAGGGCCAGGGTGTCCTCAGTCTGGGACCCTGGCCCCCCTCAGATGGAACAGCCTTGGAAGATGTTGAGGGAGACAGAGAACCTTTTT